CTGGGACTATCACCTGCCCTACAGGGGGAACAGCCCACAAAGTTCACTTGCAGGGACACCATTAACTCCAAGTCCCTTCTCAGGGGGGTCACTGCACACCTTGGCCTTTGTTTGCCCTCCCCACCAAAGATGCTTCCAACACTTCTGAGACATCTGGCACACTCAGAGCTCTCCTCAGGGAATGCTTTAGCTGCTTCAAGGCTGCCCTTGCACCAGCTACCCTATTGGCAGCAAATTCTTACAGGTTCTCCTTAAAAGATGGTATAACAGTCTTACCACACATCCAGAGGGAGCAATCCAGAGTCCACCCCATCCTACCATTTCCAGCAAGGCAGTTCATGGGCTGTCTGGGGCTCAAAAAAGAAGTCAGGGGGCTGCTTTTCTTCCTTCCTGCTTTCCAGATTTTCTCCTTCAAAAGCAAAGGTTTCTTGGCTCTCCTTGCTCAAGGAGATGCAGCAAAGGCCATCTTTTCAATCCAATACTGGAAACTGCTCGTGGTTGTCATTCAAGGTGCTTCTCTCAGGTCCTGCACTCATCAATCATCTTGGCCATTGGTTCCTTGGCAGGTTCTTGCATTCACGTCCTACAAGCAAACCAGCAGGAGCCAATTCAGCTGTTACTGCAACCAATCCAAGCTGGTATTCTGATTTTAAAGGATACTGGCTTTGCCTTACCCATATAGATCTCACATTATGGGTAATACCTACAGGTTCTGCCCTCTTCCACTCTCCTGGAAGTCCACTGGCCCACACCACAGGAACAACTGCAGCTGCCAATTCAGTCGGGACCTTGCTGCTGACAGGAGTTAATCCCTGCACAAAAAGAGCTGCTGCTTTGACACATTTAGTTTCAGCAATTACAGTTTCAATATCAACAGTTTCCAATTTAATTTCTGCCTCAAATTTTCTAGTCAATCTCTTCGTTGCACAGGTTTGGGTGAGTTTGGCAAACAGACAAACTGAAGAATTCCCCCATGTTTTCCCAGTTTAACCCCTGTCACACCAATCACCTTAACAGTGCCACTCCTTCATACTCATTCTCTTGCAAGGACCAAGGAAGTTGTATATGTGTCTGACCAGGACCTGTGCAAACCAAATGCTGGGGACTGGAACACACACCTTGCACTCCTGCAGCTCTTACCATTACATTCAACAGCAAACAACCAATTGGACCATCACTGCTCATTTCTTAATCCCAATCCCACACTTTGGCACTTGGAGCACCACTTTTATCACCCAATTACAGTCCATTAGAGAGCTCCCTGTCTAGCAGGGACAGGTACCCCTGGGATACTCTCAGCAATGCCTGAATAATCCATTGCAGGGACCTTGCTCTGAGCTCCCCAGGGCCGGGCACCCCGAGGATCTCCCCGAATAATCCT